AGAATGATGGAGGGGATAAATCTAAGATATATTGTAAGTATTTGTAAGTATCACAATGTGTCCCCAGTACAACAATAATATGCTAATTAAAATTTTTTTAATGAATTTTATTAAAAGCCAGGTGTTGGTGGCTCACAGGGTCATGGTTTGTGGACAACCTGGGCAAATAGTTCCCAAGATCCCATCTCCAAAATGACCAGACCAATAATGAACTGGACATGTGGCTCAAGCAGTAGAGGATTTGCTTTGTAAGTGAAAGCTCTGAGTTCAAACCCCAGTACCACTAAAAAAATTTTTTTATTGAGGTAAAAGTGTACATACAATTAACACATTAATACAGATATCATTTTTTTTTGCCAGTACTGAGTTTTGAACTCAAGGCCTTGCACTCATTAGGCAAGTACTCTACCACTTTAACCATACCTCCAGTATGCTACATGCATTTTAATGTACAATTCCATGAGTTTTGTCAAGTATATACACTCATGTAATCATCACTCCAATGAAAATAACAGACATTTCTACCACTCCAGTGAGCTCCCTTGTAGAGTCCCTTCACAGGCAATCTTTTCCCCTATGCCCTGCCATAGGCAACTACTGATCGATTTCTACTGCTAACAATTGGCTTTTGCCTGTTGACTGAGCTTTACGTAAAGTCTGGGGGCATAGCTCAAGTGATAGAGCACTTGCAAACGTGAGGCCCTGGATTCAATCCCCAATACTGCTAAAGAAAAAAAAGAAAAAAGAAAAAGAACTTTACATAAATGGAATTATGTAACATTACTTTTGTGCTCTTGTGTGTTGGTTCTTCCAGCATAGTAGGTTTTTTGTTTTTTGAGGTACTGGGACTTGAACTCAGGGCCTTCACCTTGAGACACTCCACCAACCTTTTTTGTGAAGGGTTTTTCGAGATAGGGGCTTTCGGAACTATTTGCCTGGCTGGCTTTGAACTTCAATCCTCCTGATCTCTGCCTCCTGAGTAGCTAGGATTACAGGTGTGAGCCACTGGCGCCCAGCCAGCACAGTGGTTTTGATACTCATCCATATTATATGTATTAATAGTTCATGTGTTTAAAGCTTCATTGTGACATAATTCAGAACATACCATAAAATTCACCCTTTTAAGATACGTAATTCACAAGTTCAAACCCCAATACTATATACATATGTGTGCATATATATATACACACACACATACATATATACATATATATGCAAACATATAGTTCAGTGGTTTTACTATATTAGCAGAGTTGTACAACTATCACAACTAACTTTGTAACATTTCCATTAACCCCTAAAGAAACCCTTATATTCATTAGGGGTCACTCTCAGTCCCTCCTCCCTAATCCCTACCAACCAACAAATCTTTTTTGGCAATATACAGCGGTTTGAACTCATAACCTCATACTTGCTAGGCAGGCACTCTTACCACTTGAGCCACTCTACCAGCCCACAAATCTTCTTACTGTATCTATGGATTTGCTTATTCTGAACATTTTATATAAATAGAATCTTATAATGTGTGGCCTTTGTGTCAGATTTCTTCCACTGGCATATTTTCAAAGTCCGTTCTGTGGGTAGTAGCATGTATCAGTACTTAGTTTCTTTTTCTGATGGAATAATATTACATTGTACATTCCTGAGTTGATGGACATTTAGCTTGTTTCCACTTTTTGGCTATCATGAATAATGCTGTTACAAACATCAATGGAGGATGTATGCTTCATTTCTCTTGAGTATTTACTTAGAAATGCTATTCGTGGGTCATATGATAACTCTAAATTTAACATTTAGACTATTTTTGAATAGCTGCACCATTTTTACACTTTATTCTTGTTTTTTTCTTTTGCTTTGTAATATTCTTCTGTTAGACTATACCACAGGGCTGGGTATGTAGCTCATTGATAATTTGCCTAGCATGCATGAGACCCTAAGTTCAACCTCCAGCATCATAAAAAAAAATATGATTATACTGCAAATGAATCAAAATCAAAAACTTTGCCAGGTGTGGTGGCTCATCCTTATAATCCCAGTACTCAGGAGGCTGAAACAGGAGTATTAGGAGTTTGAGGCCAGCCTGGGTTACATAGTAAGTTCCAAGGCCAGCTTGGGCTACTCAGTGAGGCACTGTCAAAAACTCAAGAACTGGAAGTGTGGCTAAGCCACAGAGCATCTGCCTAGCAAGCATGAAGCCCTGGTTCAAACACCAGGATCATAACAAACAAAACAAAAACTTTTTATTCAAAAGTCTTTTCTTTTTTTGGAGGTACTGAAGGTTGGATTCGGGGCCTTTCGTTTGCTAGGCTCAACCACTTGAGCCTCTCTGCCAGTCCTTTTTGTGTTGGTTATTTTGGGGTAGGCTCTTGTTTTATGCCAGGCCAGGCCTGGACCAAGATTCTCTTATTTGTGCTTCCCAGAGTAGCTGGGATGATGGCATGTGTCACTGTGCCCAGCCATTGGTTGAGATGGAGTCTCACAAACATTTTGCCAGGTCTAGCCTGGAACCATGATCTCTGCCTCTGAAGTATCTCAAAGTACAGGCCTGAGTCACCTGGAGTTTTGGTTTTTTTTTTTTTTTTTGGTGGCACTGGGGTTTGAACTCAGGACCTCGCCCTTGCTAGGCAGGTGCTCTACCACTTGAGCCATGACCCCCAGCCCCCCTGAGTCACCTGGAAAAGGCATGATTATTAAGAAAATGAAAAACCGAGCCACAGCCAGGCACCCATGGTTTATGCCTGTAAGCCTAGCTCTTTTGGAGACTGAGATCAGGAGGACTGTAGTTGGATGCCAACCTGGGCAAACAGTTCGAAAGACTCCATCTTCAAAATAACCAGAGCAAAGTGTACTGGAGGTGTGGCTCAAGTGGTAGAGTACCTGCTTTGCAAGCCTGAAGCCCTGAGTTCAAACCCCAGTTCCACCAAACGAAAAAAAATTCAGCAAAAGACTTGAACACTTTATGAAAGATATATGACAGCCGGATGCCAGTGGCTTATGCCTGTAATCCTACTGACTCAGGAAGCAGAGATCAAGGTTGGAAGACAGCTTGGCAAATAGTTCAAGAGATCCTATCTCAAAAACACCAATCACAAAAAAAGGACTGATTGAGTGGCTCAAAGTGTAGGGCCTGAGTTCAAGTCCCAGTACCGAGTAAAACAAAAAGATATATAAATAGTAAACATATGAAACATGGTCAACATCATTAACATTCAGAGATATGCAAATGAAACTAACGATATACCTACTGGAATGGCTAACACTAAAGAGTGACAGTATTAATACTGTTATAGTAAATACGTAGTTATAGAAGTACTGTACGTTGATTTTGGAAATGTAAAGCAGAATGGCCATTTTGAAAAACAGTTTGGCAGGTCTGATTTTGTTTTGGAAACAAAGTGTTGCTATATATCCCAAGCAGACCTTGAACCTGTGATCCTCCCATGTCAGCTGCTCCAGTGTTGGGATTACAGTCCTGTACCATCATGTATGGCTCTTGGTAGTTTCTTCTGTTTGTTTTTTTGGTGGTGAGGCTTGAACTCAGCGCCTACACCTTGAGCCATGCCATCAGCCCTTTTTTTGTGATGTTTGTTTGAGATAGGGTCTTGTGATCTATTTGCCTGGGCTGACTGGAACCTCGATCCTCCCGATTGCTGCCTCTTGAATAGCTGAGATTACAGGCGTGAGCCGAAGATTCCCGGCTTCAGTTTCTTCTAAGTTAAACATACACTTCCATGACCCAGCAACTGCACTCCTAGCTATTTACCTAAGAGAAAGGAAAACATGTGGACACACAAAGACTTACACAGAAATGTTTGTGGAAACTTTATTCAGCAGACAAAAACTAGAAACAACCCAAATGTGTATCAAAAGAAGGAAAAAATCTTTAAGAAAAAAAAAAAAAAAAAGGAAATGTCTTCAGAACCCGAAAAAAATGTTGTTTTCCCTAGACTGAAACTTACAGGCAAGCAGGTACAGAGGCTGGCATGCTTACTGCCGTACCCTCTGTCTGATGCACAGTAACTATTTTATGAATGAATAAAGGAATGTCACCTTTCAGAAAGTAATAAACTTGTAGTCACCATCCTTCGGGACTTTTATTCCCTCAATCCTTCCATCTACAAATGCTACCTGGGCCAGGCCGGGTGTGGTTCGCAGCCGGCCGGGGAAGGCAGCACTGGCAGCACCCACCATGGAGGGGCACCCCGCCGAGGACGCAGACAGCGGGCGGCCGGAGGGTCCCGGGGCGGGAGTGGAGGAATGTGTGCAGCGCACTCTGGTTGGCGAGGGACAGGCTCCGTTGGACGGTGCGGGGTGGACGGACGGACAGACCCGCAGACAGCGGCCGCCGGACGCACCGAGCAGAGGGCGCCCGCGGGCAGTGAGCCGGGCCGGGCCGCGGGCGGCGGGGGCGGGCCAGGCCGGGCGAGAATCCCGCGGAGGTGAGGCTCGGGGCCGGCCCGCCCCCGAGGGCAGGTCCTGAGCCCCGGCCCGCCCCGGCCCGGTCCGCTGGGTGTGGGCCGTGGCTCCGGCTGAGTTCTGCGGCGTGTGCTCGCGAACCCGCGCGGGCGCCGGCTCCCGCAGCCAGGGTGAGGAGGCCGGGGAGGGGGCCGCCGAGGTCCCGGTCCCGGAAACCGGGCGGGGACGGGGACCGGCTGGGGCTGCCGGGCCTTCTGACTCAGCCACGCGCCCACATTCGGGGTTTCTGTCCCGGGCGTGGAGCGTGTAACTTCCTCGTTCGCGTCTGGATCCCCGCTCCCGACCACCCTGGTCTGGCTTGAGCCTCGGTGTCCCCGAGGTCTCTCGAGCACCTGGGGCTCCTTTCCCAGGCTTCTGCGCTGCCCCAGTTCAGGGCCATCCTGTCCTGGCTGGGGTTTCCCAAGGCCCTGCTTACAGAACAGGGATGAGGCTTAGGGGCTCTGGATGGACTGAGGGAGGGGATGGAGGTTGGGGGTGGGGTGGAGGGCGTTAATTTGCAATCAGAGGTTGGGAGTCAGCAGGAATGAGGTGGGTGGGGAAGATTAGGATCATGGGGGTTAGGATGGGGAGAAGGTTCTGAAGGACAGATCACCTCCCTGAGGCCTCCCCATATTCCTAGGATGACAGCAACCCAAGAGAACCCGTTCCCCTATGGGGACTACCTGGACTCCAGCCAGTTGCACATGGAACCAGATGAGGTGGACACCCTGAGGGAGGGAGAGGACCCAGGTATACAGAGAATATGGTCCTTAGGGAAGAGAAAACCAGAGGGCTGGGGCCTCCTGAAATCTATACCCTTGGGCTTTCTTTCCTCTCAGCTGACCGAATGCACCCCTTTCTGGCTGTCTACAACCTTCAGCCTCTGAAAGTGCATCCGTTGGTGTTCGCCCCGGGGGTCCCTGTCATAGCCCAGGTGGTGGGCACGGAAAGATACACCAGTGGATCCAAGGTGACTGGGCTGCATGAAGGAAGGGGGTAGAGAGAGGTCTGCTAGAGTGGAGGGCTGGGGTACAGCCAGGGGACATGGATTCAGTTCCTCATATCCCCAGGTGGGAACCTGCACTCTGTATTCTGTCCGCTTGACTCATGGGGACTTTACCTGGACAACCAAGAAGAAGTTTCGTCATTTCCAGGAGCTGCATCGAGACCTCCAGAGACACAAAGTCTTGATGAGTCTGCTCCTCTGGCTCGGTGAGGGGGACCAGGCAGCTTCCTGTGAGGGGCAGGTGGCCCTCATCCTATGGCAGCCATCACTCCTTTCTGCCAGGTCTCATTCCCAGGCCAGCTCTGGCCACTTGGCCCCCTCGCCTGACCCTGGTTACTAAGAAACTTTCTCTGCTCAGCTCTCCCATCTCCAGTCTTTCAGGCACCGGCCTCCCAGCTCTTTCCTGAGCCTCACTCCATCCCTTCCACAGCTTTGCTGTTCCCTATTCTCCAGCCGAGAGGAGACAGGCAACACAGAGATGCCCTCTCTACCCCGAGGAGGTCCTGAGGGCTCCACCAGACATGCAGCCAGCAAACAGGTGCAGCCAGACACCAAGTCCTCGAGAAAGGCATGCTTGGTCTCATGAGCAAGAGGCTCTGGTGCTATCTTCTCCCTTTCTCTCCCATCCCCCTTCAGAAATACCTGGAGAATTACCTCAACCGACTCCTGACCATGTCTTTCTACCGCAACTACCATGCCATGGTAAGGTCCAGGGACTGGACACCTGGGTCTTTTGCCCCAGAAGCAAAGGGGCAGAGTTAGTATAGTCTGAAGGGCTGAAAGCCAAGCTTGATTCATGGTGTCTTTCTTCCTCTGCAGACAGAGTTCCTGGAAGTCAGTCAGCTCTCCTTTATCCCAGACCTGGGCTCCAAAGGACTGTGAGTATGGGAACTTCCCATCTTTGCCTGCCTGAGAAGAAGGCAAGGCAGTACAGGCGTTTGGAGTCCCCATCCAGCATCTCTTCCTGATTGTCCTTGCAGGGAAGGGGTGATCCGGAAGCGCTCAGGTGGCCACCGAGTTCCTGGCTTCACCTGCTGTGGCAGAGACCAAGTTTGTTATCGCTGGTCCAAGAGGTGAGGGCTGGGACCAAGCAGCAGGTCAGTGGTGGGAGGAGGAGGGAGCTTCTAAGGGTGGAGAGAATTGCACAGAGCCCCTCCACTGCAGGTGGCTAGTGGTGAAGGACTCCTTCCTGCTCTACATGTGCCTGGAGACTGGTGCCATCTCATTTGTTCAGCTCTTTGACCCTGGCTTCGAGGTGCAGGTGGGAAAGAGGAGCACAGAGGCACGGTATGGAGTTCGGATTGACACCTCCCATAGGTAAGACCTGTCTAGTGTAAGAGCCACATGGGGAGTGGGGAGCAGTCTGTGGCCCTGAGGGGAGTTAAGCAGGAGAGAGAGGAAGGCTTTCCCAACCCCCAGCTCCCACCCCTGATCTGGTCACAAGGGTTTTTTGTTTTTGTTTTTGAGACAGGATCTCTCTAGGTAGCCTAGACTGGCCTCAAATTAGCAATCTTCTTGCCTCAGTCTCCAGAATGTCAGGATTATAGGCCACACCCAGCTGGCCACTGTTTTGAACCAGGGAACTAATCCAGCCAGATGCTTGGGATCCTCTTATAGTAAGAGCCCAAAGAAGTCAGGCACCAGTGGCTCATGTCTGTAATCCTAGCTACAAAGGAGGCAGAGATCAGGAAGATCGAAGTTCGAAGCCAGCCGGGCAAATAGTTCAAGAGACCCTATCTTAAAAATACTCTACACAAAAAAGGGCTGGTGGAGTGACTCAAGGGCTGGCGGAGAGCACCTGCCTAGCAAGCGTGAGGCCCTGAGCTCAAACCCCAAATACAGGCAAAAAAAAAAAGCCCAAAGAATGGTGATTAGTATAAGCCTGGGGAAGGGTCCCCCCCACCCCAAAAAAAAAAGGGAGATGATGTGTTGACACATACCTGTATTCCTGTACTCAAGAAGCAGAGGATGTTGGGGGAAGTTAAGGCCAGCCTGAGCTACTTAGCAAGTTTGAGGCGAGCTCTGTCTCCAAAACGAAGAAAGTAAAAAGAGAACTCCCATCCATTCATTTATTCATTCAACAAACCTATGCCTGGTATAATACTGGTTGCTGGGCACCCAACTGTGTGTGGAATCTTGATTAGGGACTAAGGAAGAAAGTGGGAAAAGATGATAGCCAAAGGCAGGAGGTCTCTGGGCAAGATCATAGCTAGATATGGAGGATGAGGATTAGTGCTCATCTCATTGTTCCCATCCAGGTCCCTGATTCTCAAGTGTAGCAGCTACCGACAGGCCCGGTGGTGGGGTCAGGAGATCACTGAGCTGGCACAGGGCCCAGGCAAAGACTTCCTACAGCTGCACCGGCATGACAGCTATGCCCCACCCCGGCCTGGGACCTTGGCCCGGTGGTGAGACATTGATGTCCCTTCTGAGCTATGTGTGACTTTCTTAACTCCCTCGGTATTCTCTGAGTTCTTGGCACTCTTTTATCTCCTCTGACTTCTTTAACCATATTGATTTTTCTGATTCTTTCCTGACCTCCAAACTTGGTAATCTCCTTTGACCTTTTTAATCACTTAGAGCCTCTCTGTTTATGACCTCAAATCTCTCCAATTTATTCTTCCATTTACATACTTAATAAGCATTTCCAAAGCACCACTGTGTGCCCAGTCCAGTGCTAACTGTAAGACACAGGCTTCTGTGGTTTAGGGAAGAAGGTGATCTAATCATGAAACAAAGTGAAGTTAGGGATATAGAGCACCTTCCTAGCGAGGGTGAGGCCCTGATGTCCTGAGTTCAAACTCCAGTAACACCAAAAGAAATGTGAATTTGCTATACTGGTAGTGTTCCAGGGAGGGAATGGCAAGGCAGGTTTCCAGAAGGCACAGCTTCAAGATTTGCTTAGCAAAATAAAATGGAGCCGGGCAATCCAAGCAGAGAACATAGAATTAGCTTAGTGTATTTGGAAACTGGTCTGGGAGATGGCAGTATCTGATCTTGTGGAGTCCACATCTGGCAAAACATTTTTTTTTTTTAGTAGTATCGGGATTTGAACTCAGGGCTTTACACTAGCAAAGCAGGCACTGTACCATTTGAGCCACTTCTCCAGTCCATTTTGCTCTGGTCATTTTGGAGATGGGGTCTTAGGAACTGCTTTCCGGGCTGGCCTCAAACTGTGAGGCCTGATCTTAGCCTGCCAAGTTACTACGATTACAGGCGTGAGCCACTGGTGCCTGGCTCATTGCACAATTCCTTGCCCCACCCCACCCCACACACAACTTCTCTCCCAGTCCTACTCCCAACAGTCCCATTTCTTTTCCTAGAAGTAACCCTGGCAACAGTTTGATATTTATCTTCCTAGATCCTTTTCTGCATATTTTCATATGTACATATACAATGTTACTTTTTGTTTTAATGTAAAAGAGATCATACACCCTCTTCTGCAACTTTGTTTTTCTACTTTATACATGTGTTAGGATATACATTATATTTTCATAATATATATATTTAGGTTATTTCCCACCTTTCACTCTTACAAATAATGTTGACATAAGCATAATTTTTGCCTAAGCATTACAGAATATATATTTCTAGAAATAAAATTACTATATATATTTAATGGTATCAAAGAGTATGTGTAACTGGGCATGGTGGTGCATAACTGTAATCCCAGCACTTGGAAGCTGAGGCAGGAGGATTGCCACTTTGAGACTAGCTTGGACTACATAGCAAGACCTTGTCTCAAAAAAAAGTTAGTAACAAATATCTGTTCTCATGGGTCTATGAGAATACCCACTTCCTCACATACTAATATTATGTGGGACTGATGATTTTAATTTTTTTGCGGGGGTGGTGATGGTGAGACAGGGTCTTCCTGGGTAGGTCAGGCTGGCCTTGAACTCCATCTTCCTGACTCAGCTTCCCAAGTACTGGGATTACAGGTGTGTATTATCTTACCCAGCCCTAGGATTTAAATTTTGCCAACATAGTAGATTTTTTTAAATCTTACTTTAGGGACTAAGGGTATAGCCCAGTGGTAGAGTGCTTGCTTAATATACCCAAACTCCTGAGTTCAGTCCCTTGTACTGATTTTAAGGAGTTGTTTCATTTTAATTTCAATTTCTTGTTTTCTGGAGAAAGTAAACATCTTTTCTGTGACTGACCATTTTTTTTTTTATTCATTTATTCACATGTGCATACATTGTTTGGGTCATTTCTCCACCCTGCCCCCTGACTGGCCATTTTAATTTCCTCTGTGAATTGTCAGTTCTTTTCTTTGAATTGTCAGTTCATTCTTGATTTGGCTTCTGTGTCTTTTTCATATTGATTTACTGTAGCTCTTTATGTGTGATGTATTAATACTCCCAGTCTTTTCTTTAGTTTATTGTGTCTTTTGTCCTTTTTATTTTTATTTAGCATACACTGGAAAATCATACTGCTAACCACCACTTTTGTTATATCTGATACCATTTGACCTCTTCAATCATTCCTGCTGTCACCTCTTACCCATGGCTGTCCTCTGGTCTTCACTCTTCAGAGCTTTCTGGCTTCTGACTCCCCTGATCTCCTTGGCTTGGCCTCCCCCCAGGTTTGTGAATGGGGCAGGTTACTTCGCTGCTGTGGCAGATGCCATCCTGCGAGCTCGAGAGGAGATTTTCATCTCAGACTGGTGGTGAGTGGGGAAAGGAGGAGATCAGTGTACAAGTGAGGGGAAGAGTGGTGGGCTGCCTGGAGCTTAGCTTACCTCTCCCACTCTGCCCTGGATCCCAGGTTGAGTCCTGAAGTTTACCTGAAGCGGCCAGCCCATTCCGATGACTGGAGACTGGACATTATGCTCAAGAGGAAGGCTGTGAGGACTGGTCTGGCTGGAGGGTGGAGGTTAATTAGAAGGGCTGCAGCGCGGGAGAAGGTTGGGGATCTAAGGTTTCAGGGGAAGGAAATGTGTCCTTTGGGCTTAGTGTCTGTCAAGCATCACCTCCTCCTCCCTGCTTCCCCTTTCCAGTACTGTCATAGACAGTACCCATAATGCTTTATTGCATTACCTCGGGGCTCACGTGTTCTGGCTCTTTCACCTGACTGATTAACGTCACTAGCTCCAGTACAAAGCACAGAACCTGTTGCATAGGGGGCATTTATGGGTGCTGATGAGTGAGAGGAAGGGTACGTGGATGGATAGATGGTGGAAAGGGAGATGGATGGAAGGGTATGAGTTGGAAAGTTGGAGGAAAAGGAAGGTGTGTAGGAAGTTGGTGAACAGTGGACAGTAGATAAACTAATGAGTAAATGACTGAGAAGATGGGTAGATTATGAAAGGTAAGTGGCAGGTATGTGGATAGATGAGTGGGTGAGCAGATGGCATTCAATCTGCTTGCTGCAAGCATCAAGACAGAGTGCACATGGAAGAGCATCTAGGCTCTCCAGGGGGTATAGGCACATATGGAAATGGAAATCTGAGTGTGGGGAAGGGTTTGGGAAGATGGAAAGAGGCACTAGGATCTGATTCCCCTGGCTCATCACCAGGAAGAGGGTGTCCGTGTGTCCATACTGCTGTTTAAAGAAGTGGAATTGGCCTTGGGCATCAACAGTGGCTACAGCAAGAGGATTCTGATGCTATTGCACCCCAATGTAAAGGTGACACAGAGACTCCTCCCACACTACCGCCCTCCTCACCAAACTTCCCATTCCCTCAACCCTTCCTCTTCCTGGAGGGTCTCATCCTTCCAGCTGTCCCTTCTGTCTTCTCATGAAACCTAACCTCATGAACTCCATATGTCTCCAGGTGATGCGCCACCCAGACCAGGTGACGTTGTGGGCCCATCATGAGAAGCTTCTGGTGGTAGACCAAGTAGTGGCCTTCTTAGGGGGGTTGGACCTCGCCTATGGCCGCTGGGATGATCTGCAGTACAGACTGACTGACCTTGGGGATGCCTCTGAGTCAGCCACCTCACAGGTAGTTCCCCCAAAGCCTTCCTGAGCTCTCCCACACCCAGTTAACCTGAATCCACATCCCTTCCCAGCTCTAGCCTTTCCCCTCCAGACTTCCCAGGTACTGTGCACCCGCAGAGTTCTTCAGTCTTTCTGGGTTCCCAAGAACCACCCCCCCTTTTTTTTTTTTTTAATTGAGACAGGTAATGTAGGATGGCCTCAAATTTGAGATCCTTCTGCCTCAGCCTCCCAAGTACTAAGATTATAGACATATACCACCCCACCCAGCCAAGAATTCACTTTGAAAATACTAGGTATAGCTGAAGGGAAAGGCTGAGGCATCAAACTGTTGTTTCCTTCCTCTTCTTTGTGTCTCACACTGTTTCAGTGCTCCTGTCTTCTCTATGGCCTGGTCATCTATGACCACCATGACTTTACCTTGCTCTGGGCTTGGTGTGCTCCCCCTACAGCCTCCCACCCCGTGCCCAGACTCTGCAACCACCCCAGACCTCTCTCACAACCACTTCTTCTGGCTGGGCAAGGACTATAGCAATCTGATCACCAAGGACTGGGTGCACCTGGACCGGCCTTTTGAAGGTGAGGCTACTCTCTCGAAAGGTCTCCAGGAGCTTAAACCTGGGCTTGGGACTGTAATGGAACTCAGTGGGTCGAGGACAGTGCAGCCTTTGCTCTGGAAGGCTTCTCTTCCTGCCTGCTCCAAGTATCCTCAGCACACCAGTCCTGACCACACTTCTCTCCTGACCCTTCTGGGTGGCCTCCCAGATTTTATTGACAGAGAGACCACACCCCGGATGCCATGGCGAGATGTTGGGGTGGTCGTCCATGGCTCAGCTGCCCGGGACCTTGCGCGGCACTTCATCCAGCGCTGGAATTTCACCAAGGTGCTCACTCTCTTTGTGGGAGCTTAAGGGAGGGAAGGGAAGCATGCTCACTTTGCCACCTCCTGCTGATTCTGTCATTCCTCCACTTCAGACCACCAAGGCCAAATACAAGACACCCATGTACCCATACCTGCTGCCTAAGTCCACCAGCACTGCAAACCAGCTCCCCTTCACACTCCCAGGTGGGCAGTGCACCACTGTGCAGGTGAGGTTCCTGATTTTAGCCAGCTGTTCCCCACCTTGCCTTCAGCCTGGTGCCCCACCCACCTTCCCTGATATGAGAGCCCCTCAGATTCTTCCTCTCCTGGAGTTAGGAACGACATCATATTCACCATTCCTGTAGGTCTTGAGATCTGTGGATCGCTGGTCAGCGGGGACTTTGGAGAACTCCATCCTTAATGCCTACCTGCACACCATCAGGGAGAGCAAGCACTTCCTCTACATTGAGGTCTGACTGGGGGAGAGAAATGGAAGGGATGTTCCAAGAGAGCCTGGGGTGCCAGTGGGATCAGTTATTCAGGGCTGGTGTAACTGGGCCTGGAGCAAATGCAGAAGCCTGCGTTGGGGTCTAAGCTGGAGCCAGGGTCCTGAAAGTGGGGACTGGGAGCTGAGGGCAGGGACCAGGGCCAGGCTGTTAATGTCTCTCTTTGGTCCATGCCCCAGAATCAGTTCTTCATTAGCTGTTCAGATGAGCGCACGGTTCTGAACAAGGTGGGAGATGAGATTGTGGACAGAATCCTGAAGGCCCACAAGTAAGGTGGACTGTTAGGAAGGTGGGGACTGTGGGCATGGTTTAAGCCCAGCTGGATGGGGTGGAGCCCACTTTAGGGACCATCACACCTCTCATTCTGCCCCTGTTCCCAGACAGGGCCAATGTTTCCGAGTCTATGTGCTTTTGCCCTTGCTCCCTGGCTTTGAAGGAGACATCTCCACAGGTGGTGGTAATTCCATCCAGGCCATTCTGCACTTCACTTACAGGTGACATCCTCAGCCAGACTCCACTTCTCCATGGCTCTATCTCCCCTACCCCCACCCTGTCCTGATTCCTTCCTGCTGGATCTTTGAGGTCCACCTCTCTCCTGACACCTCCTCTCCCCCTTCTCTAGCTTCACCCTTTCTTTTCTCTTAGAACCCTGTGTCGTGGGGAATATTCAATCCTACATCGTCTCAAAGCAGCCAGTGAGTGCTGGGTCTGGAAGTTCAAGCCCTGGATTCCTGGGGAGAGGGAGATGGGAAAGCTAGGGGCCTGGGAGGGGGAAGGAGGCTGTCATTCCACCACAGGTAGCCTTTCCTTTCGTTGCAGGCAGAATTGTAAGGACTAGACTCTAGCAGGGCTTCTAAAGTGAGGAGAGAAGTGAAATGGGGCCCTATGGCCCCACTGCTCAAAGAGGGCATCTCTCACCTCCCTCTCTCTTGCCTCCCCCATCTCTTGTGCAGTGGGAACAGCGTGGCGGGACTACATGTCCATCTGTGGGCTTCGCACACATGGAGAGCTGGGAGGGCATCCAGTCTCAGAGCTCATCTATATCCACAGCAAGATACTCATTGCTGATGACCGGACAGTCATCATTGGTCAGTGGTGGATCTGAGCCCAGGCCTTGAGAGGAGGGTGCAGAGGGGCAAAGTGCTGGGGGAGATGAGAGAGACTGTAGCTGAGGCTCAAGGTGGGGTTGCCCACAGGCTGGGGCTCTGGTGAAAGTGATGAGGTGTAAGGGGGCGATCCCCCCAGGCCCAGGCAGACACAATGTGTCCTGCTCACACCCCAGGTTCTGCAAACATCAATGATCGGAGTTTGCTAGGGAAACGGGACAGTGAACTGGCTGTGCTGATTGAGGACACAGAAATGGAGCCATCCCTCATGGATGGAGCTGAGTACCAGGCAGGCAGATTTGCCTCGAGTTTGCGGAAGCACTGTTTCAGGTAGGACAGGTGGGGTGCTGCCGGGTAGAGGTGGGGGCAGCAGGGGTCTGTCTTTTGAGCTGAATGCAAAGGCATCTTACAGACAGTTCTTGAGTTCCCAGTAGGCAGACTAATCTAGTTAGGGTATCAGCAAAGTAGGAATACCAAAAAAAGTGAGGAAAAACTTTTTTAAATAATTGTTTTTAAACATCAAAGTAGAGATAAAGCTCTGCCAGACTCATTTACATGTACTTCACCATTTATCACATCTATTTTGAAGTACCAGGGTAGGGACACTTGTCTTTTCTGGTATTCAGCTTCTCTAAGGATCTCAATCTGACCCCATTGGGACTTTTTCTTCCACAGTATTATTCTTGGGGCAAATGCCCGGCCAGACTTGGATCTCCGAGACCCTGTCTGTGATGACTTCTTCCAGTTGTGGCAAGAGACAGCAGAGAACAATGCCAATATCTATGAGCAGGTGGGAGTTGAATGGGGCTAGCCTGGGGGAATTGATGGGTTGTCCTGCTCAGGGTGGGATGGAGAGAAGCCCATCACACAGTCATTCCTAGAAGGGGGATAAGCATCTGGAGAGCATTTACTGCTGGGGACTTAGTGGCCCAAATCAATATGAGGGAGGCTAAGAGGTGGTTACGGGGAGTGGGGAGTATATCCCAGTTGGCTTGGATTCTTGGGAGAGTCTCCCCAAACCTAATCGGCTCACCTGCCCTCCCTTTCACCCCCAGATCTTCCGCTGCCTGCCATCCAATGCTACGCGTTCCCTGCGGACTCTCCGGGAGTATGTGGCTGTGAAGCCCCTGGCGGTGGTCAGCCCTCCCTTGGCCCGGTCTGAGCTCAACCAGGTCCAGGGTCACCTGGTTCACTTCCCCCTCAAGTTTCTGGAGGATGAGTCTTTGCTGCCCTCGCTGGGGAGCAAGGAGGGCATGATACCCTTAGAGGTGTGGACGTAGCTGAGGCTTCAGCCAAGGAGAGGTGACCGGCTGCTGGGCTCTACCATGTCTTACTTCCTGCCCCAAACCCTGAGGACTGAGGGCAGTGCCCTTGGAGCTCTAGGGCGGTGGGTATCCCTGAAGGAGACTAGAGAAGTCACAGAGGACCCTTACTTGAGAAGTAGCCAAAGGGGGCATCCTTGGGCCTGGCCTGGGGAGACAGGAGAAGGTCCAAAGGAGGCTCGTCCTTTTGCTGTCTGGTTTAAGCCACTACTCCAGAAGAGAAGCCTACCTCCCGCCAGGAGGCCTGGGGGTTCAACCTCTTATTCCTGGAGGAGGGGATGCTGTCCTGGGCCTTTCTCTTCTCTCCCTCCTCTTCCTGCCCTTAAGTCCCCTCCCTGCCCCAGGGCCTTACCCAGCCCATTACTGCCAGGATGGAGGGAAGGATGAAGCCACTTCAGGCTGCAAGCTCCTGTGGGGGTGGGAAAGGCACACTAACTTCTCCCACCAGCCTGCTGATAGACACTAACTTTGTACCAGCTCAAGAAGCATTTCATAAATAAAACTGTAGAAAAGGCCAATGTCTCTTCCTTGGAGGAGCTGATGTGTCTTAGGCGCCCATCCCTGCCTGCACAGGACACCAGTCTCCCTCCACCTCACTCCTTTCTCTTGTCTGAATCTCTATACTTCTTGTCCGTACCTTACAAGTTCAGTCACCAGGCTCCTGAGAAGAGAAGGTGTTCACACAGTCTCACCTGAGTAGAAGGAAGGGCAGGGCCAAACCAAGACAACCAGAGAACACTGGAGCCACCACTGCAGCTGCCAGTGATGGGAGCCCCTTTTGGAGTGGTTTAGGGTATAGGCCTGAGTTTGGGGATGTAGCTTAGTGGTAATGTTGCGGGAAATTATGAGCTGAGACAGGAGTCTCTGAGGCAGATTAGCAGGAAGCAACGTTTATTGTGCCGGCACAGACCCAGTGGACTTGTGTCCAAAGGCTGAGCCCCGAGAACAAAGGGGTCTCACCTTATCTTATATACCCTTGCAAGCAGGTTATAGAAGCAAAAAGTAAGGTTCAACCCACATATGTTTGCATGTGACTTCATTGGCTATTTCATTTCCCCAGTGCTTTGTGACCTTCATGTTTCAATTCTTTTAAGTTTTATCTCTCTGCAATGCCATCCCCTCCCCCGTCTAGTTGTCAGAACAGCCTGTTGAAAGAAAAAGGCTGTTTCTTTTCTGATCTCCCCTTTCCTGCTACAGTAAGGCTTGTGCTCAGCATGCATGAGGCCCTGGGTTTGATGCCAACACCTCCCTAGAGGTCAGGGAGAACTGGACCCAAATCCCGGGCTTATCACTTGGAAGCTAGGTGACCTTATCAAGTCATGTCACTTCTCTGGGCCTCAGTGATGACTGAAATGAGAATAATATTTATATGACTGACTGGCTAAAGACTCAGTCACTGACCTAAATATCTATTGAGTACCCACTACCTGCCAGGCACTGTTCTAGAGTCTCCACCACCCCCATAGCATGTGTTCTGGAGCTTCACTTTGTATTATAGTAATTACTAGTCACATTTAGCTATTTCAGTTCAAATGAATTAAAACAAGACAGAGGACTGGGGCCTAGCTCAGAGGTATGGCATTTGTCTAGCATGTATGAGGCTCTGAGTTCAATTCCTACCACTGTGGGGCGGGTGAAGAGAATAAAAGTTTTTTAAAAAAAAATTTAATAATACTGTTTAAGTCTATATAACGGCTTGTCTCATAGAGGAGAGAGCGCTGGAATAGGTTAGACTCATGCTATAGCAAGCTCAAATTGTGTCAGACAGTTTCAATCATCTGCCACAGTGTTGCAGTGTTGCTTGCAGAGGAGAATAAAACTTTATTGCCTCACATCAGCCAGGTTTCAGGTGCTCAGAAGCCACTTGCTGCTAGTGGCCGGCATTTTGGATGGTACAGGTGTAGGCCATTTCCGTCATTGCACAAAGTTCTATTGGACAGCATTGCTCCAGAGGAAAAAGACAGAATGAATGGTATAGATGGTAAAAGAGGATTGCATACACGGAACTGAGGATGTTTACTTCCTAGGAGGGGTACACAGATAGTTTCAACTCAACTGATAACTTTATTTATTTTGCAGTGCTGGGCATCGAACTCTGTGCTTTGTGTACGCTAGGCAAGTGTTCTACCACTAAACTACAACTCCTGTTCTTTATTTTTTAAGCTGAGTGGTGGGTGTACGGATTTCTTTCTATCTATCTATCTATACACATGTATCTTTATATGTCTGAAATATTTTGCAATTAGAAAAATGTTGAGCACAGGTACTGGCTCTCCCAGTCTCACACCAGTCCTCAGAACTGGCCAGGGAGAAACTGAAGGGAATAAAGTGAGTTTAGGAAGACTTCACGGAAGAGGGATATGCTGGGCAGATAGTCACATGAAGGAAGGGGACCAGGTTGCCTTGCCCCATTTTCTCCTTTGACTCCAACTCTGTAGTTCTCTCAAGAAGAGACTTCCAAGTCTGGGTGTGGTGGGGTGTCTCTATAATCCCAGCATTCAGAGGCAGAGGCTGGAGGATTGAGAGTTCAAGGTCAGCCTGATTACATAGTAAGATCCTGTTTTCAAAAAAAAAGCCACTTCCATGCCAAAAAATTCCCTTCCTACACAAAGCAGTCTTTTGGTACTAATTAATGTTCTGTTAATTAGCTTCACTGTTAGCACTAAATTCCTCTTTCCCTAGGGGGATCTTTACCTGCTTAAAGTGGAATAGGGTAGACTAGGGGGCTTCTGCTTCAGACTATCTGCCCTCCCCTCCTTAGTCCTGGAGGGGTTGTTTTTGACTTTTTGAGACACCATCTTGTTTTATAGCCTGCGCTAGATTACAAATGAGCATCCCCATGCCCGGCCAATTCTGGAGTCTTTTTTTTTTTCTTTGGTAGCACTGGGTTTGAACTCAGAGCCTCACACTTGCTAGGCCGGCACCCTACTGCTTGAGCCACTCTGCCAGCCCTAATCCTGCAGTCTTAATTGGTGACCAAACACAATGCAAGGAAGGAAAACAGAATTTGGGATAAAAAGAATAGGCTCTAAGAGTTGGGAGTACAGTTTAGTGACACAGCTTATCTCAGCACACTGGAGGCTCTGGGTTCAATCCCTAGCACTGAAAAAAGAAAGAAAAAATACTACTAGACTCAAAATGGAGAGACACAGTCCAGTCTCCCAAGGTTAATGATTTCTGCAGTGTCTACTCATCTTCCAAGAACCCTAGTCTTTCTTCTTGTTTAGTTCTTGGGGTGGACCCAGGACCTTGCTGCATGCTAAACACCCTTCCAACCTATCTTACTTTTAATATTTTAACTTTTCTTTCTTTTTTTTTTTGGCAGGAAGGGGGTTTGAATTCAGGCTTCATGCTTGCTAGGCAGGTGCTCTTACTGCTTGATCCACACCATCGGTCCTTAATATTTTAGCTTCTTGATGCCTAGTCCAAGACTTCCTTCACCAGGGACTCTTTTAAAGTTTTTATTATGGACAACCTCAAATACATACAAAAGTAGAGAAAAGGAAAATGAATCTTCATATATCCATCTATATCCCTGTGTCCATACTCCAGCTTCAGTAGTTAACAGTTTAGAGCCAATCTTGTACTCTACACCCCTCCCCCCAGACTACATTGCCTTTGAGGCTTGGGTGGCCATTCATTCGTTCCCTGTGATCTTGGTTTGCTCTTTCATTCATGGAGTATCATCACTTTATTAAACACTCTGTGACTCAGGCATTAGTAAGTTTATTGAGGCTCTAGTATATGTTAAATGCTTTATATACACAAATCATTTTATCCTAATCATGCTGTTATCTCCGTTTTTAACACACAATTAGGATTGTACCTAAGAAAAGTTAGTCATCTACCTACAGCACTAACTTCAAATTTTATATTTTTCCTGAACTTCTATATTGCCTACCAAACAACAGAGGCCTTCGTTCAATTTAAGTGTTCCCAAACTTCTAGTAGGTGCCGGCCCATGCTGAACAAGACTAACATCATTTCTGCTTTAAAGTAAATTCAAAACACATTTACAAAGTGTTAAATGTTGCCAACGGCTTAAGCCAGAAAGCTAAAACAGAAGAGCCAAACTCAGTGGGTCAAGACGGATTTCAGAGAGGGGGTGATTTCAACACACAGGACAAAGTGAAGGATAATGACAGTGGGCAGGGTGTGGAGGCTGGGGATTATTCCATGGAGAAGAAACAAATACTGGGGACAGTATGCAGAGTTCGGGGAGCTGTGGGTAGAGTATTTTATTGTAGCTGGAACATGGGAATTGGAAGAATGAATAATTGAAAAATAAATACTGAAAAATAAGGCCGGAGAGGCAGGCAGAATATTTTGAAGAGTTTTTGACACCATGCTTTAGACTCTACCCACAAGACAGTGGGAACCAGCAAAGGGTATTATTGTTTTGTTTTGTTTTTTGGTGGTACTGGGGTTTGGACTCAAGGCTTCATGCTTGCTAGGCAAGTGCTCTACCACTTGAGCCACTCTGCCACCCCTTGTCTGTTTCAGACAGGGTCTCCCTATGTAGCCCAGGCTGACCTGGAATTAGTGATTCTCCTGCTTCAACCTCCAGACTGCGAGGTTCAGCAAAGGGTCTTCAGAGTGATGTCAGATCTGAGTTTTAGAAAAACCACTCTGGGTGTGAAGAATTGACTTGAGGGGGCCAAGCAGGAAAGCCCAGTAGGAGGATAACAAAGTAATGGAGGTAAATGGCGAGGGGTGGCTTGGATAAGATCTATGGCAAGGTAAACAAATTAGGAAGGGGGAGGGGAGCAAGCCCAGATGTGTACCCAAATGTGCTAAGGAGAAGGGTCCAGAAAGGGTGGCATTCCGCTCTTTTCCAAAGTATGGCATTTACCCTTCACTCAAATTCTTTAAGTGATGTTTATATTAAGACTGTTGATGGGGTTTTTCAGATATAGTATTGGTGCTGGAAGAGAGCTTGAGACTCATATACAACCTTCCCCACTCAACTTCATAGTGAAAGAAAATCCAGAGAAGCAAATCCACTTGCTCAAGGTCACACAGCACGTCGGTCAGCGGCAAAACATGACTCTGTTCTACCCAGCCTCCAGTGAGGCTAATGACTCAGGGTGCTGTCCCAACACAACTAGCTATAAGGTGACCTGAGCAAGACTTAAAGGGATTGAATAGTTTCCTCCCGTTCCCCCTTTGCCACTCGAGATTCCAGCGATAGTTCCTTTGTGCAGAACACTTTGCTTAGAGAGGTGCTGAGATAAAGTCTGCAGTAGGATTCCCCGTCCTTAAATATGTGCACCGCTCTCCAACACTACCCACTCCATTTACAGAAGGAAATAAAGAGCATTCCTGAAGCAACCAGTCTCCCCTCCAGCCCTCCGCCTGCCCCACGTGGTTTCTCCAGCCAAGTTCTCACAGAGAGGCCCCTCCTTCAGCGGCTCCACTGTTGCCATGGCAATTGGGTGGGTGGACAGCCCGTCCT